TGAAATGCATGCAGAATGAAAATGCTTCCTGGAGTGGGTGTGTTTGGAACTGGCAGCACCGCCCGGGTACTGGTACCCTTGCTGAGAGCAGAAGGCTTCTCCGTTGAAGCGCTTTGGGGGAAGACCGAAGAGGAAGCCAAACAGCTGGCAGAGGAAATGAACATCTCCTTCTACACGAGTCGGACTGACGATGTCTTGCTGCACCAGGACGTAGATTTGGTTTGCATCAATATCCCTCCACCACTAACTCGGCAAATTGCTGTGAAGGCTCTAGGTACCTTTTTGTCTTTGGAGTTGGACCAAAAATCATAGCTCGTTGGCAGATTGAAATTTGAAGCTGTTATCCCAGCACGATTCGGTTACACCAACGTGCAAAGGCAGCACTAAAGGTTTTGTGTGGAATTGGTAGCGCCATCTGCAAGAAAGGTCACCTAGAATTTTTTGTAAAAAATACTATTTATAATCGCTTATAGCTTTGCAAATCTTGAACCAATTGGGCTAAAATATCCCATGTCTTCTTCAGACTGAACTTATGGTGAGGAGGTTTTAATAAAAATAAGCTGTTTCAGTGATGATGAGGGGGTAAAATGTTTTTATGCCCATTTAAAAAAACAAAACAACAAAACCCCCAAAACCCAAACGACTTAAGCTGCTCGATTCATTTCAAATCTTCCCACGATCTGCAATAGGAAACTGAGATTTGCCTGGGGTAGGGGGGTGGTTCAGCTCTGCCTTCTGTTTTCCCCACAGATGAAATGAAACTTGAAAGTTAAAAGCCTTTGAAAAAATGTTTGCATGCACTCAGCAGAATCTTGTGAGTTAGGACCTAAATTCTCTGCAGATGCCGTTTTCAGCCAGTGTGCTGTGGCCCTGGCCACCGCCTGGAGCTCTCTGCGGACACCCAGGTCCGTAGCAGGCTGGTACGGTCCTGGGTGCAGACTTGCTGGAGGAATCCGTCCACCTGATGCAGGAGGGCAGATGCAGGGGGACGAGGAGATCTTGGGGACAGCAGGAGGAATCCAGCAGGATGGGCTGGGTGGTGAAGGTGTCTGGGAGAGGAGGGACGACACCCCAAACTGGTTGGGCAGGGAGGTGGGAGCCAACTGCCCGGGCATCCTGACGTTTCTTAATTCTCCAGCATGCGACTTTGTAGTGTTAATGTCCTCTCACGTCGTACAGCGTGGGTGGGAGTTTGCCTGTAATTCTGTAAATAACAAGTGTGATATTTTTACTGTGTTTATGGGAGATCCACATGAGTGGAATTTTAGGATGGGTGGTATCTCAAACCATGTGACCGGGGTGGTTTGTTGTTCTTAGCCTCTTTGCTCTACAGTAATGTGTTTTGGAAGTAAACAACTCCCCGCACAAACATTTGCAATGCCACTTAGATATGCAGAAACAGATTTTGGGCTTTTTTTTTTACACTGTTGGATTTATTTGTTTACCTTGTTAGACAACTGTCCTTTGAATTTAAGGTATTCTGATTTTTGAATATTTGAACTGTAACTTAGAAGTTATCTCTTTTAAATATGCTAAAAGTTCTTTTAAACACTTGTTAGGTAGTAAGTGTTTCACTAGTTCTCATGGCTCTTGATGGTCAAGTGGGCTAAAAGGAGAGGATTGAACCTCCTCTGGTGAATTATTAACTAAAATTAATTGAGATTCTTTCTCCGAAGGCTGGGAACCCCTAAGATGGCATTACCCAGAGGGGGATAAAGCTGGTGCAGAAGTACAGAGGTGATGTGTATGCTTGGCTGCAAGTATAGATAAGTGGAAAGCTGAAAAAGCTAGGGAAATCAATGGATGAAGTCGTAAAGCATGGTTTATTCTTCACTTCTGTCTGTCTTGAAACATTCTGATCTGCAAACTGATGCAGGCACCTCAGACCCAATATGATGCTCACCCTGTCTTTCAGCTTTCTAGGTTCGTCGCAATGGTATTTATAGATCCTCTACCAAGTATGTTGTGACATATTTTAAGCCAGTGTTGGGTGGCTTGCTATGATTGAGCACTCTGAAGGAACACAGAATCAGGGTATGGCCAAAGATGGCGAGTACGTTTTCTCTGAAAGTTCAGATTGGTACAGTGGTGTTTATAATTGGAGAATTATTGGCTGTGAATTGTATATAATAGGTTGGTGTTTACTAGCCGAGAGACTGGGCTTTAGGAAAGATCAGATGTGGTGCAGTGCTAATGGTCTTGTGTGTTTTGTTTTGTTGGGGGTTTTTTGTTTGTTTGTTTTTTAAAGTGCTTATACTTTTATTACTTATTTGTATACTTTTTTATACTTCCTTTTTTTTTTTTAAATGTGCTTACATATTTATTTCTGGCAGAGAGGGGAGAGAGACAGTTTTTCCAGGTGGTACAGTTTGCTTGCATAAGTTTTTTACTGACAGACATCCATAAACAAGCCTAGGTACAACTTTGGCATGACGGGGTCAAAGCGGTAACGCTGGATTGAGTTCGTGAACCAAGTAGAACAGATCAAAGCCCAGGATAATTCAAATTAAGATCAGTGTAATCTTACGGTTTATCTCCAGAACAGGCAAAGCAAGAAGCTATCCTAAAACTTGTGCTTCTTTTGATCTCAGAGGAACGAAATTAATTTCACAAAATGTCTGTGTTGTGGTTCATGTCCCACAGTTGAAACGCATCCATCTTTGCATTAGGTGAGCGCGGAGCGGAGTTACTGGCTGGAGTGGAATGTAAAACATGGGATGTTTGTGTGTGAGGTGAAGTTCAGGGAGGCAGAACATGAGAAGCCCTGAGAGTAAAATTTCTTCAGGATGCTAAAGATAGTGCTTGCTGCACTTACTGAGCCCAGCTGTCAGACGGATGGCTTGTGGAGTGGCTACAGAGGAACCTTTTACTTGTCTCTCTTGGTTTATACTGGTTGACTCATCATTTGAGACATCTTTGCAACATAGATTGTTTGACCCCCTGATTTTGTGGAGTCCCTACAAATTACAGCAAGTACATGTTAATTATGAAGGAAGGAGTCAGAAAGGGCTCTGTCGCTGCTTTGTGTTGTGACAAATCCAGATTTGCTGTTCTTGAAACAGGATGAACGAGCACGCTACGAGTGCTCTTTGCATATTGTGCTTCCCGTCTCTGTAACAAGTAGCATGGAGGTCTCTTCAAACCGTAGGCAAACAAATGAAATGAAGGAGTGTGTTTTGGAATGAGCATTCCTTCACTGGGAGGCTCCCAATGTCTGAAACAGCCGGTTATTTGGGAAGACTCCTCAGACGCTCCCAACTTCTTATGGTGGACAAAGCAATGGTCTTGTGTGCTTCAGCAGTGGCCAGTTGTACATCTTCCTAGGTGCAACCTCAGGCATCTGACATTATTCAGGGGAGCAGAGAACTGGGGCTTCAGTTCAATGGACATATTTACATGGGATAAATAGATTTAGTAGTTTGGGTCAACATTATAACTCGTGCAGAGAGGGGCAAGGCTGGGGACTTTAGCTGTTTATGGAAAGTGTTGGATGGGCAGCTGTGGCTATGATAGCCAGGCAAAGAAACAACCAAAGAGGTGAAGTGGTAGCTGCCATGGTGAGAAGGCTGTCCCAGCCCAGCCCTCTCCTCGCGCTGCCTGGGCAGGCTGTGAGATACGCAGCCGGTTCCCTCCTCACTGCGCTGCAGGGACACCTCTGTGCACGGGTGCCCCTGCTTGTCCCACCCAGACACGGGATGGCAGGACCTCTCGCCGTCAGGAGCTCTGGTGGGCTACCTCCTACTCCAAGCTAGTCAGCAGGCCCCCCGGGACATGAAGGACCTCCTTGATGGAGTGGTGGGCCAGGTGTGGTCTCAGTGTCCTTCTCGTGGCCTGCTGGTATGCACCCGGCCTGAGGCAGAGAGGAGACCCCGGCTCACGTGCACGTTGATCGCAGAGAGAGCCGACTCTTTAACGTTAGGGCTGCACTTCTCTCATATTTTCATGAACGCTCCCCCTCCCAAGGCCCCACCAGGCTGCGGGGTCCCTTCCCCTTCCTCCTGCCCACGCCGGCACCCTCCCTACCAGGAGGAAGGAGTGGGCTGGGGTGGGTCCTGGCAATTGCTGGCACCCGTTTCCATCCCCAGCTCCTGTCACGGCTCTGGGTAGCGTCCACCAGGTAGCAGGAGAAAGCAACGAATTTTCTGTGCTTGCATTTTATTAACCAGGACTGTAAAATACGTATGGCAAGTTTTGGATGTGGCGTGGCTAAGCAGCTGCAGGAGAAGCCGAGGCCTCAGTGCTGATGGACAGTGTGGATCTGACTAGATACATAAGATTCCTTTAGGAGAAAATAGTCTAGCTTATTCTGCTGTCCAGTAAGTCTCGGCTTGCCTGTTGTTTTTTGTTTGCTTCCATAGGATGTGAACACACTTGAGATCTGGTATTTCACTGAGCGAAGCCATCATTTGGCTATATTACATTAATGAGAGTTAAGAGACCTCTTTTTAAATATTTGCTAAACCAGGAATTGGTTTGAAAATTCTTGGAATCTAGCAGGTGCTTTTGCTCCTGAATATGTGAGTAGGTGGTTTGTTTAAGGACTCCTGGCAATGGTGACCTTTTATTCTCTTTTCCCTCCCTCTTACTACAAGAACCAGTTAAAAAGCCATACATAAGAATAGTTTCTGCTGTGTGCAGAGCTAGTAATGACTGTTGAGAAGGGTGCACCTGCCTGGAAATGCACTTGTGGAGAGGTGGTTTCTTGTGCGCCGGGAGCAGAGTAGCAGTTTGTCCGGGGCCAGGTCTGATCGCTTGTCGGGCGCTTTGGCTGGGGGTGCGTAAGTCAGCCTGTGCACCCGCTCTGCACGTAGGGCTGTACGGCCTCTCCTTGTAGCCTCTCCAGGCAGCGCTCAGCACTGCCTTTCTGGGGGATGTTGAAGCCTGAAGCCATTCAGGGTTGATTACAGTCATGAGCAGTGTAAGAGCTGGTAGAGAGCTGCATACCTTCACACTGCTTACCTGGTTGCAATAGGTACGTTGTTTCGCGTTCGGCAATGAGTGCAGCACTGAGAGCGAGAAGCACTTCCTGAGGAACCATCATTGGAGTTTACAGAGCCCTTGGGGGCTCGGAGCTGGTAACTGCGGGGTGGGCTGGCAGAGAAACGTCCATCTTCCAGGACGTGAAGCAGTACAGGCTGTCACGAGGCGGGGCGGACAGCCTGTTTCCTGGATAAGGACAAAATGAAATAACTACTAGGGAGGAAGATTGAGTCTTTCTCTCTCTCTAGCGTCCTGGGAGGACTTCAGTGGAGCGATGTTCTGCAGAAGCTGATGTGCTCCCCGCAGACAGGGTTTACTCCAAGGTATGCACAGAGAAGACCCTGAGGCATGTTATTAGGACAGCCTGGGATGAGCTTCATCGAAGGCAGCGGAGCTGTTGCTGTCCTTGCTCGCTGCCTCTGAGGTGGAGAAACCCAACTCCACAGCCCCATCTCCTTCCTCCCAGGCATGCAACCCCTTCTGTGGGCTTAGACCCACCTGTAACCTGATTTAACCCACCCGCTTGGAAAGAGGAAGCTTCCTTTTCTAAACTGGGCTCAGTTGGTGAGCTGAACTGGCTCACAGAGGGCTCCAAGGAGCACCAGAGCCACGTGGTGGCTCTCATGTCTTCTAGCAGGTGAGGACCTCAACAGCAAATTTTGCAGCGGTGATTTAAGAAAACAATATGGTACAAAGTTCAGGTTATTCATTATCAAAATAATAGTAACAAGATGAGGCTTGTAAGTTGCTCTGCCTCGGAGGACAGAAGGCATGGCCATTACATTGGTAAGGGACCTCATAGCCATCTCTGACTCAGTTCTTGTCCTTGCTGCACAGCCATCTCTGTGAGCTTGGGGACACTTGGGGGATGTCCCACTGAGGGCAACGGCAGAATTATCCCTGAGATGTTATGGTGTCCCCAGGTCTCTGTCCTGGCACTCCGGCAGCGCTTGGTGGGCTGTGCCGAGCTGTCAGTTCACTGCGCTGACTGCCATCCCAAAAAAAGGCATCAGTCAGTTTTAGCTTCTCAAGTGGCTCAGCCTACGCTGGCAAAAAGAGCACAGTGCTGACGCAAGGACGAGGGTGGGCG